AAATCATCACATGCAGTTAATAAACATAATTGTTTCCTGTTCTGTGCTTAAAGCACGTAAAGCACGTATTATGCCTTTTGGTAAAATATTCGATTTCTGAAAAATATGAATCTAATATTCAGCCGAAAATTTTTACCGAATAATGTTCGTTTTGTTATTAATTACGAAGAATAGGCGTAGTTAAACTGAAATTAATTGTATCCTGGGAGAATTTATTAAAAATGGTTCTTGTAGCGCCTAATTCGAGAGAATTTAATCCAATTGAATTTCAGAATTTTGAATAAAGCTACATGTTAAATACAATAATTATTAAATACAATTATTAGCATCGTGTTGTTATATAAAAGATTTTAGATTGTATGTAATACCAGTTATTTAAGTTAATTATGCGATCTATTGCAAATGGATAAAATTATTATATTGTACCATAAATTGAATTACATAATATTCTTTGGATCTTATACTTTATGTTACATGCGAAAAAGTTCATGAATAAATTCATTATAACGTAAATCATACGTAAATCCCTCACATAGATCCTGTATAATAATGAGACAAGAAATATATGTTTATGAAATAAAAATCCATGTCCAAACTTGTTGAAATTTACTGCGTACATTTCTAATTATATTTCCCAACAATTTTAATTGAAATTTCGAATGTAGTTTACGAGAAATTAAATCTTATTTGAACAAGATTCTTCGATCTATTGATTAAAATTTGTAAAACTCTAGATATGTATTTCAATATGTAGTTCAAAATGGTCACGAAAAGGAAATTAAAAATCTAATTAGAAAAAATTAATTGCGAAAGCTCAGATTACTTATTTCAATTAACTTTATTTACAAATGAAAATTGAATTTGAATTTATGGGGACTAAAATAGCGCCACATAGCGGTGGAACTAAAATTTATTGCTGTCTTTGTTTCATAACAATAAGCTCTTTATCTACGAACAAAGCAAGTGCTGCTATCTATCGCAATGTTACGCTTTTAGCATTGACAGCGTACAGTGTGCTTAAAAATCAGTAATTTTTTCCTTCATTTGTCAATATTTCAGATTCTAAGCATAAAGTTTTATTCATGTCCGATTTATTCTATCTTCAGTCAATATTTTTAGTTCCAGTCGAAGTTGAGAGATGTTTAAATGATTATCTACAGACAAGGCATTAGCGTGCATTAGCATGCGACAAAGATAGATGCATGTCGCGTGCTGCCATCTAAGCGCTTCTCAATTTCGACTGGAACTAAAAGAATAAAATGGAAAAATCCGATAGATGGCAACACTTGTTTCGTTCATGTGGCGGCGCGCGTATTTTTAAAAAACGAGTTTAACAGCAGTGACGTTGATTACAAATGCAGAAAGAAAAAAATAAAATACCGTAAAATAAAGCAAATGGTAGTCATAAGCAGATTAATGAAAATAAATAGTTATTGTTATAGTTTCTCGTTAAAATGCGTAATATATTTATTTAAAGCGCAATAGTGAACAGAACAGATGTAATGTCACAGAGAAGAAACGCATTCGCGTGCGATAAGGATAGCAATAGATTTTAGTTGCATCGTTTCACCACTACGCGACGCTAGCATTTCAGTGTACATAAATTGATCAATCAAATTTTCATTTGCAGAAAAAGTTTATTAAAGGGAATAATTTTTGAACTTTTGCAGTTTTATCTATTTAATTGGAATGTTAACTTTCTTTTCATATGTATTTTATACTATTTGAGATCTGAATTGCACATATATTATATACAGAAGCGATGTTGCTTCTGGGTGGATTGATTGTCCCGGGAAATTTTAAAGAAATTTTACAAAATGGATGGTAAACTTTTATCCTATAATTCTTTAATTAGCTTATTGCGTCAACTTTGAAGTAGAGTGTACATAAACATTTGATAAATTACAGAATTGACTTCAAATAATAAAAAATGAAAGAAAATCATATTTATTCAAGTAATAGATTCAAGAATAAATCAATTTTCCTCTAATAATATTAGTTAATACCAGTTCATTCTAGTGATTGAGCTCCTGATAAAATAATCTAAGTTCAAATATACATAAATTTTACATATGCGTAAAATTTTAAATAATAATTTCCACGTCTTAAAATCACTATTTTCGCAATTTACTCGTTCAACTAACATTTTTCGCCAAACAGACAAATTTCAACGTACAATAATATTAACACTAGAACCGACGACGAAAATATAATAAATTGTATCAGAGAAATTCGAGTGGAAGAAATAAGAAAAAGTTTAGAATATAATATCTCACAAAAATTACTCAAATCCGTGAAACCGCAACATTGCGAATCTGTTCTAAACTCTTCTAAAAAAAATTATAAATTGTTTCTGATCAATTTGTTAACTCGAATGTTGAACTATCAACATTATCCATTTGTATTAATCGCCTCTGGGCATATAGCTGTCTCTATTCCATCCTATTTGAACGAAGATTCACTTTCAGTTGGCATTGCGTCTCTATTGTGACAATAGAGTTTCGTTACTGTAAGCGGGTATCGATTGCCAGTGGAAATGCTAATTTAATATTGGAATTACTGTTCACCCTGATCGTTGTTAGCCCATCACAGTACTGCCAGTGACACTGATCGTGAACGTTTGAATGTTTGAAGAACGATGTGGAACTATGTGCTGGTCTCGATCCTTGTCTTAGTCGTTTCATTGCTCTACCATTGTTATTTCAACGGCCCGGCCAGCGTTATCGTGCACCCTAACACGCATTACGATTATATAATCGGTAAGTGGCGGATGACAATGTCGGTGACTGCGGTACCGCTCGAGTTTTCACTTTAAATAGAGTAGAGAGGCGGGTACTCGAATGGCAATTTAATTCTTTAATCTTGCGTGATCTATGCTTCTGCTGGATAGACATGAATGTTAAATCGACTTTAGCGTATAACTGAAAGTAACGTGTAGTGAAAATTGGATTTTGAAACATATTACCATGATGCAATCTCTGAGAGGTGTGTGTACGAAGGTAACTCGTTGCTTTTCGTTCGCTGATTTTTTTTTTTTCTTTTCAATTGCCGTGTAAATTTTCTATATTTTAAATTGACAAAGACGTGTTAAGATAGAGAGGAGACGATTAACATTGTCAAGTGTACTCGATCAAGGAATTAATTTACAAATGTACAAGTTTAGAATGGGGTTGTATTGAAGAATGGTACCAAACACATACATGTTCTTTAATACACACAGTTGGTGCTGGAACAGCAGGATGCGTAGTGGCGTCACGTCTTTCCGAAATCTCGAACGTGACGGTTCTGTTGGTCGAAGCGGGGGGACATTTCGGATGGGTGTCGTCCGTTCCAATTCTGGCGCCATTCATGCAAAGGACCGACGTCGATTGGTCCTACTCCACGGAACCGCAAAGATTCTCTTCGAAAGGATTTTGGAATCACGTAAACGAAAAATTAAGAACCTTTGTTTCCAGGCATAAAATATGATCCTCTCGATTTTTTTACGGTCCCGGTATTTTTATATAATATAATTTATGGTCCAACGTCTAAACTTGTGATATTTATAATTTGGAAAATTATTAAAGTGTTAAAGGCTGACGTTTCAGTTGTCCGTAATGGGAAAAGTTGGATTTTATTATAGATACAAAATATACCGAGAGGCAAAGGGTTGGGCGGTAGCGGGCAGATAAATCACTTGGTTCACTCCTTCGGAAAGCCGGAAGATTACAAAGCCTGGCCAAAGGGATGGTCACACGCCGATCTACTTCCGTACTTTAAAAAGGTGTCCGATATCATGAACGTAATGTCCAGCCCAGAGGAAGAATATCTGGCGGAAGCTTTTCTCATGGCGGAAGAATCGTTGAAGTTGAATAATGTGACTCTACAAAAAGGGATGTACACCGTTAAAAGAGGCTCCCGCTGGAGCACGTTTAACGCGCATTTACAAAATGCCTGGAACAGAAGGAACTTGCATATATTAACAAACACGTTGGTCTCCAAAGTGAGATTTCCAGCTTTCCCTCTTACTTTTCCTTTCAGAAATATCGTATCGATAGAACTAGAGTTATTTGTTTCAATTCTGTTTGTAAGTTAGTCCTAGTTGTATTTTCATAGCAGTGTAAGAACTGCAGAGCTCTACACTACCGACGAGATCAAAGCATAAAATTTCCATCAGAGATATTCGAAAGAAATAGAGAAACTTTATCAAAGAAACTTTCATTTGTACATTTTACGAAAAATTTAGATCTCTAAAAATATATTATTTTTCTATCTGTAAGATTTCTGACAAGAGTTATAAATTTTGGTAATTCTGCTGTTAAGTGTGTATGTCGCTTTCATACTGTCAAATTTTTCGAAATTTAAAACTGAATAGTGTAATAATGCGTTTTAAAAATCGGAGTCATACGCTCGAACAGATTCTTCGAAAATTTCCAGATACTTTTCAAAGAGAATTTAAACGCGGACGGGATCAAAGTGATTTACAAAGATGGGTCGGTGGGGAAGATTGCCGCGAGAAAAGAGGTGATCCTCTGTGCGGGTGTTATCAACACTCCTCAATTGCTTTTGCTTTCGGGAATCGGGTCAGCCGAAGAGCTCGACAAATTTCAGGTGACGAATCGCTGAGATTTTTTTTTCCCTCCCCCCCAAAAAAAAGATAAATCTTCGATATCTCGATGTCGCGTATACGTTTTATATAATATTTTATATAATCTGAGGATAAAGGTATTTCTAGATACCAGTGGTGAGCAATCTGCCGGAAGTGGGCAAGAATTTGTTCGACCATCTTCTTCTTCCGCTTTATGTTAATCTCGAGGCGAGAGTAAGCATGACTCTGTACAAGTTACAAACAGTCCCCGAAGTGCTCAATTATTTCGTATACGGAAGAGGTGCGAAACAATCTCGATGTTGATCTGTAATTTTAGTATTCATTCCTGTTACTTTTAAGGGTGGTACGCGACTAATGGTATAATGGCGGTGGGTCGTGCCAACGATAGCGGTGTCATGCTTTTTGGAATGGGTTCTGCCGATGAAAACATATTAAAGAGTCTGTCTAATTACAAAACAGAGGTAAATATGGCACTGCGCTATTTTCATTACATCACGTCTTTACGTTGAAATAAATATATTTCAGCAAGATCGAAATAAATAAAATAAAATAAGTATTCTAGTAAAAACATCGGCAAATGGTGCAAACTGTATAAATTGTTGTGCAGTGTAAAATATATATCTGGAGTATGTCTTCTGAAGTGCATATATCTAAAAACCGATAATTTCGCGATTCTAACTAAATAAACGTAGCCTTACAGAGCGATGTATCCGTCTTACAACAACGCCACGCGCGAAGGATTTTTATTGCTGTCCCATTGTTTACAACCAAAAAGCCGTGGCAGCGTTTCGCTAAAATCCAGCAATATTCGTCGTCAACCGAAGATCGATCCTGCTTACCTTAAAGACTACGACGACGTTCTGTGCAGTCACCGTGGTATGGAAATTAGAGTGTTATATCCCTGCTGGACGCTTTGAACGACGAAGGCGAATTTTTCAGCTATAAATTTCGCCATTCAAACGGTCGAGTCGCCCAAGTTTCGCGAATACGGCGCGGAAGTTCATCATCCTGACTTGGAAGAGTGTCGGCATTTGCCACGGGACTATCGAGACTTGGAATACACGGAATGCGTGTTGAGAGTCGCGGCTCTGACGAGTTATCACGTTTGCGGTACCTGCAGGATGGGTGCTGACGATCGTTCAGTCGTCGATGAGAAATTACGGTAAAAAGTTTTTGTTCGTCGGTGAATTATATCTCACGTATAATAACGCGAAGTAGAGATCATCTCGATCAATGTAAATCTTTCCGTTTCAGAGTGAGAGGTGTGAAAAGACTGAGAATAATAGACAGCAGTGTGCTACCGTCTCCCATTTCCGGTAACCCGAATTCCGTTGTGATTGCCATAGCGGAACGAGCAAGCGATGTGATTCTCGATCGCGCATCTAATTAACAAATTTATCGCGTTGAAATGAGAAACAGGAAAGAGAAATGAACGTATCATTTTTGAAAACACTTGTTGAATCTAGTTGATTAAAACTCGATTGGATGAAACGGATCGAGTACATTATTCTACGTACCTACTTCTAAGTGGACGTTTGACGTTTGACTCATTCGACGAAGACAATGACAATCAAAGGGACAGGGGAAAGAAAAGACGGCTGGTCAGATTTTTTGTAATTTATAATTAATGGTAAAGTTTTCTTGTTTTACAGTAATCGAACAGTTATTAATAGTCTAATTAAATTTCGATTAATTTTTATACAAACAAAAAAGAGGCTGAGTTACACTCATCTCGGCGTAGCACGAACCCCTGCCACCCTGTTCGCACTTGGAAAAAAAAGAAAAAGAAAAAGAAAAAGAAAAAAATATACCGTAACGCCGCTTCGTTTCGCTTTTTTTTTTTTTTTTTTTTTACTTCCCCTCTACGTTTTTCCCTTCAAAAAGTTCATCGTAACACGTAATGAATCGCGGTCGTAATCATCATCATTTAAACCCAGTTCCTAACCGGGTTCGTTGAAGATGGCAGAGTTTCGACTCGTTCTTCGTTTCTATTTCACTTCCGCGCCTATTTTCTCTTTCTTGCATCCACTTTCTTCCTTTTCTTTTCTCACGTCCATTCATACGTCACTGAACAATCATTTCTCTCTCTCTCTCTCTCTTACTCACTGTCTCGAGCATTCGTATTCAAAATCATCTTTTTTTTTAACGCATTTCGCGTTTCAGGAATCATCTGGAGACGCATAGATATATATTCAAATTATGCCGGAGGAAAGGAATTTTTAACACGAATTCGAAACACATTCGTTGCACACGCACACAGGCGCACTGCGCATCCCGTATAAATAAAATAATCCCGTAAGTAGAATGCAAAGTGTCATTTTGCATAGACAAAAGAACGCAATCTAGGCTTGCGCGCACCGTTCACGCACGAGGCATTCGCCATTTTGCCGCCTCAGCTTTTTCAACTCTCTCACTCTGTCACTCTCTCACTCTCTTTCTCATCCTTTCATTACGTATTCATCGCGTTCCTTCTCTCGTGTCTACTACGCTTCCTTCTTCCCTCAGATTTATCTCATAATTGTAACGCAAAACTTAATCTTTCAACTTAAAAACAAAATTGGTAACCACCGTGTCGTCGATCTGCGGTGCAAGCCACGAACTTTCTCTCCTTTCGCTCGTTTCTGGGAGAACAAACACGCAACAAGAATTTGCGATCGATTTCTGCCGAATCGACGCCGACGAAAGAGAGCGCGAGGAACGACGTGACGACGACGTGATCAACGCCCGAGACGACGAGAATTCTCGTTTTCATCGTGGAAAATCGTGTAATTCTTTACGATAGAAGCTACGTCTTTCTCGCGCCGTTTGTTTAAATTCTCCTGTGAAAATTATATTTAAAAAAAGAAAAAAAGAAAGAAACACTGAAACGAAGGATATATATCCCTATCCTTTTTTCTGTTCCCAAAGGAACGATCGATCGGTTGTATCGTTCGTCAAAGAAGAAACTGCAAAAAAAA